CAAAAGGTAAGCTCAAACCCTTCTTCAAGGTGAAGGACCCCTCGCCTATCCCTAAATGCAAGCATACTCCTTATTGAGCTGGCACAATTAGTTAAATTAAGGTGACTAAGAATATATGAGTTTCCCTACCTCTGATGAAAACCAAAGTACAACAGGCTAACTCTCCAAAAGGAGGAGATAGAGAAGAAAAGAAGAGAAAAAAGAGGAGAGAAAAGAAAACAAAAAGGGGCAGGAGCCCATTTGGTAAATTAAGTTATATAAGTCCTGATGGCAAGTGAAAAAATTAAATAAATGAAATAAAATGACAGGAGTAATGAAATAAGATTAAACAGAAATCCCTCTGTATAAGGGAAGCAGAACAGTTATTATTGCCTGGCTGGCAGTGTGCAAACATTGCATAAGTAATCACTACCTGCATTTCTCTAATACCTGAAACTTGAGAATGAGAAATGCCAGGGTGCCCATATTGAATCCACTCAAAAGACCCCAAGCAAAGTGTGCTTTTAGATGGAGCCGTCGTCCTACAGCTAGCACCTCACCCTAAATAAAGAAAATGACATTACCGGCTTCAGTTACATATTTGCTGTCCATTAAAGAGAGTCAACAAACGCAGAGGCTTGCTCTGGAGAGTGAAAAGTTTTAACAGTGTCATTCACCGTGATCCTCAGGGATGCAGGGTAGATCATGGCGTAGTGAGCCCCCTCGATATTCTGCAGCTTCTTCCTCACCTGGTCGTACTCGCGTCGCCTCTTCTGTGTTGCAGCGGCGAAATCTGGGAAAAAGTGGATTCTCACTCCCTCAAGTCGGATGTCTTTCAGTCGTCTAGCTGCATCCATCACCCGCTGGCGGTCGCTGAAGTTATGAAACCTTATAATCATGGCACGAGGAAGCCTGGACATCTCCGGTCCGAGGAGCCTGTGTGCCCTTTCCAGCTTGACGCGTCCCGCTTTGGTGTCGAGCTGCAGGATCTGAGGTATCCATGTCTCCATAAACTTTGTTGCGTTTGTCCCCTCCAGCTTCTCCGGTAGGCCTATGACCCGTAGGTTTTTACGTCGGCCTCGGTTTTCGTAGTCGTGAAGACGCTCCTTCAACTCGTTAGCTGTCTTTTCCAGAGCTAGCAGACGTTTTTCGGCGTCAGCCGAGGCGTCCTCCACCACCAGGATCCCCTGCTCCGCCTCGCTGACGCGTTCGGTAACTTCTTTCAAACTCTGGGAGATGTTGGTTTTAATGTCATAAGCCATCTTTTCCAGCTTTTCATCCATCATAACAGCGATGTTTGCCGTCATAACTTCCAGGGGTCCGTTTCACAAAACAGGTTCAACAAACTCTGAGTCAAATCCTGAACTCTGAGTTGATCTACTCTGAGATAGGAAACTCTGAGTTTCCGGTTCCAGAACAGCTGATTTGAATCAGTTTAATCAACTCGGAGTAGTTTCATCTGGAGTTAAGCGCGTGCACCACAACTATAAAAAGCCAGCATCAATGGAGCCCCGATTCGACGAGTCACCATGGCAACGGGGACGGGGAGGGCTGCGTTTTTCACCCCACTAGAATTAGAAATCTTAATGCTCTCATACGGCGAGTTTGCACACGTTTTCAAAAAGAAGTGCAACACCGCTGCAGCTGCAAAAGAGAGGGAGACGGCGTGGGAGAATGCATAAGTTTAAATGTAGTCCTTTGCAATCACAACAATATTACAGGGGAAAACTGCTTGAATGGTAGCCTATTAATTTATTTCATTTAAGTGCAGTCCCTCACTTGGCAGCAGTTTAGGATGAAATATAAAAACATTGTTCAAACAGGTAAGGCTCAGCATAATCTCATGGGGGTACCTCATTTTGATCATGTTTTACACTGTAAAGTAAATATTAAGTGGCTGTTTGACTGTGCAGTTGTTTTATCCCCAACATAATGCTGTTTTCACACACATAAATGTCTTCTCATCTATATCATGTTCTGTTAAATAATTAAGCCTATTTAAACTAACACAGACTTCTACTCAGCCAACAGAAAGAAGGCAGATGCCCATAAAACGAGCACACTTTTCTGACCGCCCTGCATACAGTTGCCTTATTCAAGTGCTCAGCATATCCGACATTGTACAAAAAACTTCCATTTGCGAAGAAACACAGCGCATTTTTATACAGTCTATGAGCGCAACACACAATATCTGCTGGGATGTGAGAGCATGACTACGATTGGTAATGTTGCAAATGTAAGGACGGATTAGGTTGAGTATGTAGATGATGGACTGTGACGTGAAACAGTACCGCTCAAAAAGATAATTGTGTGGAAATGCTAAAACATCTATGCGCGGTCTGATAACCATCTCCTGACGAATATTTAATTCTCTGCGCAGTAATGCTGCACCTTCATCCATGGGATCGTTATCAAAAGGACATGCCATGTTAGTGAAAAAAGTCGCCACCTACTGTGCCTAATGGACTTCTAATACTGACTCTGATTTTTTAAATGATTTTTTTTAATGACAGACGGCAGAACTAGGCTACGCCAAAACTCGCCTGCTGACTGAATGAATGAGGAAATCAAATGGAGTGTGTGGCTCTGAAAGAGGGTGGAGACAGAGAGAAACTCGAGGTTCATTGAGAAAAACCTGGTCCCGACCAGGTTAGGTTCACAGAGTCTGTTACTATGGTAACTGACCGAGAGCTTAAGTTACCTCTCTCTCTGAAACAGGCTAGAGTTACTCCTCTTTCTCTGGTTTGAGTTACCTCCCTTTTTGAAACAGAAAACTCAGAGTTTCCCTCATTTCAGGGTTAACAGACTCTGAGTTTTCACTAAACCTGCTTTGTGAAACGGACCCCAGAGCTCTGGTCAAGCCCAAGTCTGCCTCCGCGCTAACACACGGAGGGCTAACGTTAGCTTCCGCTGCTAGCATAGCATCGCCGACAGGAGGAGAGGCTGCCGGTGCATCTTTCTTCTTGGTAGTGCTTTTTGGAGGCATTTTGCCGGCAGCTTTGCTCCACAACTGATCCAGGGACATCACCCGGAGCCAATACTCCGCTTTGCTTAAGTTTAAACGCCAACAGGAATAGTTATACAGGATAGTGTGCCGGAGCTCCGACAAAGCGTGGCTACTCAGGTGATTGCATCACTGGAAGTCCAACTATAACAATCTTAAGAGGTATCCCTCAATCTTTACGCTCTGTTGTTGTTACTCATTATATCCACCAGCCTGAAGTACACACACACACACACCGATTTGCATTAGTGGAGAGATGTCAGAGAGAAGGGGCTGCCACATAGTCTGTGCTCTAAGCAGTTGGGGGTTAGGTCCCTTGCTCAAGGGCCCCATGGCAGTGCCCAGGAGGTGAACCGGCAACAGTTACTCACCAAGTTGTTCAAGGGAGTTTCTTTACATTTTCAAAAAGAATAACAAAAGACACGGGCGGCACGGTGGTGTGGTGGTTAGCACTCTCGCCTCACAGCAAGAGGGTTGCCGGTTCGATTCCGGGCGGGGGAGCCCTTCTGTGCGGAGTTTGCATGTTCTCCCCGTGTCAGCGTGGGTTCTCTCCGGGCACTCCAGCTTCCTCCCACAGTCCAAAGACATGCAGATTGGGGACTAGGTTAATTGATAACTCTAAATTGTCCATAGGTGTGAATGTGAGTGTGAATGGTTGTTTGTCTCTATGTGTCAGCCCTGCGATAGTCTGGCGACCTGTCCAGGGTGTACCCCGCCTCTCGCCCGATGTCAGCTGGGATAGGCTCCAGCCCCCCCGCGACCCTCAAGAGGATGAAGCGGTTAGAAGATGAATGAATGAATAACAAAAGACACAATGGTGTTTGTGGTTTATAGAGGAGATGTTGCCTCATCCCATTCATTAAAGCACTTTGGGCTCTAGTTTCGCAGACCAGGCGCGGCGGAGGCGCAGCGCACCTGTGCTTCGCCAACTGGGTGTGGCCAGGCGGATTTTGTAAGTTTGGCACACCGTGTGCCCTGGCGCAGCCACTCCTCTATCCCACCTCCGTCCCTCCTACCGACGCAAGTCGGAAAGAGGGAGGAGAGAAGGCGTGGAGTGGATTTTACACACATCACACCAATCAAATGAGCCCCTCTCCTCGCCCTTAAATGTGCTGCGCCAAGGCGTAATGAGAGTTTACTCAATTCGCCATGGCAGAAGAGAGCAGCAGCGTCAGATGGCCAAACTCCTCCTCCCAGGAGGAAACTGATGTTTTGGTCAGGGATGTCCAAGCTTGCAGTGTCTGAATATACGGAACTGCGAGCAGACCTCCACGGGCTGATGATGCAAAGGTAGCCTGGGAGGAGGTCACCACAATTGTAAATCAATGTTGCGTTTCTCTCGTGCGCGCATGTGCTCTCTCTTTCTCTCTCGCAGTCTCACTCTGTTTCTTTTCTTTTGGCTTTTCTAAGATGACAGATGCTGAATATATACTCCCTATCTGATGCTGTGGCTGTTTGTGGTTGGCTGAGAGGGATGTGAACTCATTAATTTTGTTAATCAAATCAGGTTGGGTTTCCATTACGCGTGCCAAACATGCCAAACGGTGCCAATCCCCTTTGATCTGACATCAGATGTGACGGGACAGTCGATATAGAGATACATTTATGTGCTGATTGCACGCGCTCCGCCTGCGCTTACAGTAGACCTGGTTTCAGCTGGCGAGCTTTTAGCGCACCTTCGGCGAAGCCTTTTGGCACGAAACTGTCACTGCGCCAAGCTGGATCTGTCGACACCTCCCCCTGCTGCACCGCCACACCCATCTCAGCGCACCTCGGTCTGCCAAACTACCAAACTGAGCGCGCCTCGGGTTGCACTGCTTGAAACTAGCTCGGGGTTCGCCACCCTGCGCCACCCTGCGCTGTGTCGGGAAACTAGAGCCCTCTAACTTCATGCCAGCTGACCAGAGCTCTTGGTAGGCTTGTTTTGTTCTCACACTGATATTTGACCATGGTATTTCTCACATTAGAGGCCTAACATGACAGGAATGTAAATGTAGCTGTTGTTGTGTCTGTTGAGGTCTGATGGCAGTGCTGGCTGATATCCGTCCCAACAATGACCTGGGCCACCCCGTGTGTGCTAACCTCAGACAAGGGGACTGGCTGATGGACTTTGTCTCCAACAGACTGATACACAGAGAGGGACCACTGGCACAGGTGAGGCTTTTACAGCCTGAAAGGGCCACTTCACCCAAATTGCAAAAAGACATTATTTTATTTGTCTCTCCTGGTATCAATGAGTCAATGACAACACACACACATCTGACTTGACTTTTTAACAGTTCTATGTAGTTTGTATTGTTGTTGTTGTGGTTGTTGATGCTGTTGTTTCTGCTGTCATTATCAAGTGCCACTCACATTACATCACAGCCATCCACTGTAGTACTTTAACTCACTACACTTTAATATGTTATTTTATCCATCAGGCAGAGTACAGTTTTTTAATGTTTTTTATGGTATTTATTATTCGTCTGTCCTGTATCCTCTTTTAAGTTATGCTGCTGTGACAAATGAATTTCCCCCCAGGGATAAATAAAGTCTACCTTACCCTTATCTCCTGCTTAAATAGTGGTGCAGGGCATCAGTTCCCTCAGAAAAGTTAACTCAATAAAAAATTTTGATTCCTGTACACAATTCTTTACCTTTGCATGGATTTATTTAAAAAACGTCAGCGCTTGGTCTCAAAGACCTTTCACAAGACATAACACTTACAAAGTGATACAGTACAGTTTAAAATTGCATGATGGTTCACAGCATGTGTAGGAAGTGTGTCCACAATCACCTGCAGCAACTCATCAAATCAAGGTCACCACAACCCAGCAACTTTATACTACTTCTATGGTACCTGACACCAAGCTTTACTTTTAGTACCAAAAACAAAACAAACAGACAGACAAAAGATGTGCGTAATACCACTGAAGATACCATAAACCAAGGATATTCAAGGATTCAATTTACTCATAGTATTCAAAAAGAAAGGAGTTATCTGCCTCTGATATTTCTGCTGAGATTTCAGTGCAGTGAAGGTTTTTGGTTCTCAGATAATTGAAAAATGATATTTAAAAACACTGGTGTTTGCCACTTTACCCACAAGCCAATTCCATCCAATTTGTGTTCAGATGCAATTATTTCATTTTTCATTTAACTCCCTTGTCTACCCATTTTATTTTTTACTGTTTCTCTCCTACTTATAGTTTATAGTTACTGTTCATGTGTGTGTGTGTGTGTGTGTGTGTGTAAATATATTTTATTTAGTTTTTAAAGCTACTCATCTATACAATGTGTCTGACTCTGTTCTCATACTTTTGCTGCTGTCTCATCTTAGCTGGAGCATTTTTCCTGCTGTTGAATTTTTCAATTGTCAGTTGTGTTTCAAGCTTTGAGCATCATTCTCTGAAATACTGAAGCTTTTTGTGTGGCCAGATGCTGCACCATTGTCACTGGAAGGTTATAAGTATTCAGGATAGGAGAGTATGGATATATGTCTACAGACCTTAAAATTATCTATTGTAACATTGCATGTCTGCAGGTGGGTCAGTGGTTGGGAGCCATGTTTAACTACTTGAAACACATGCCACGCTACCTCATCCCATGTTACTTTGATGCCATTATGGTGTCAACCTACACCACAGCCCTGGACGCAACTCACAAACTCATGTCCAGGTAGGATCCATTATAGAAATTGCATTGTTGAGCTCTGAAACTCAAAGTGAAGTTTTGAACAAGCATTGTCCTGTCTTGCTGGAGCATCAATTTTTCTTCTCTTTGTCCAAACAGTTTCATCCAGAACGGCTCCAGCTTTGTTCGTTACCTGGCGCTGGGTTCAGTTCAGATGTGTGGTGTGGGACGCTTCCCTGCCCTCCCTCCCCTTTCTACAAAAATTGAGGACGTTCCCTACCGCATCAGTCCAATCACAGGCCAGAAGGAGCAGTGCTGTGTCTCACTGGCTGCAGGTAGCCTAGCAACAGACACGTCATGCTGTCTCTGTGGATCAAATTAAGACTAAGTAAACTGGAAAAAAAAAGAGAAAAGAGAAATTAAGGTGTTTTATTGACATTATTAATTAATTAATTGATTATTCCCTGGTTTTGGATCACCGGTGCTGTGAGATGAAGATAGAATTAAATATTTGTAAATACATATACAGTATAGTGTTGGTGGATGGTCATTGGCTGATTGAACTGTTACACTTACTGTATGATATTCTTTAGGTCTCCCTCATTTCTCCTCTGGGATTTTCCGTTGTTGGGGCAGAGACACTTTCATTGCTCTGAGAGGACTGATGCTGCTCACTGGGAGACACACCGAGGCCCGGTACGTATGCATGTGTGTGTATGAACTAAGTACTTTCTGATGAGACTCAATGAATGTATTAGTAGTTGTGGTATTCTGGGTTATATTAGTACAATTAAGCATTCTGTCTCATGGTCTTCATAGTAACATCATCCTGGCCTTTGCGGGAACGCTGCGTCATGGTCTGATTCCCAACCTGCTTGGTGAGGGTCGCTGTGCCAGATACAACTGCCGTGATGCCGTGTGGTGGTGGCTGCAGTGCATCCAGGTAGGAGGACACTGTAATATAGTAAGTAAATGGAAGATAGATGGAATGAGGAAGGTAAAGGAATGTAAATACATTTAAGACTCAGCCTTAGAGTTAGGCTGAGGAGCTTGGACATCCATAGGGAGTTTAGAGTAGAGCTGCTGCTACTTCTTGTTGAAAGGGCCAGCTGAGGTGGTTTGGGCATCTGATCAGGATGCCTCCTGGGCATCTACATTAGAGGTTTTCCAGCCATGTCCAACTGGCAGGAGGCCCGGGGCAGACCCAGACCACGTGGTAGGGATTATAGATCTCATCTGGCCTGGGACAGCATTGGGATCCCCCAGGAGGAGCTGGAAAGTGTAGGGGTAGGGGGGATGTCTGGAGTACTTTGCTCAGCCTGCTGTCCCCACGAACCGGTCCTTGAAAGCACAAGAAAATGGATGGATGGATGATCTTCACCAGGTTCTCCTCTTAAGCTGTCAAATGCTTACTATGTTGCCAACTTTGTCAGCCATCTGGTGCTGTATAGGAAGCGCACAGTGGGTTCATCAGAGAATTCACTGAAAGTAACTACCTGCTGCTGATAAAGAACTAAAAAATGCTAAAATGCTCCACAGAGCTGAGGGGAACTGCAGAGTTAGGGATAATTTTCTGAGTCTATCACATGACGCACCTTAATTTGACTATACATTAAAAGATATATTAATATAGATTAATAGATTAAAGCTACTTTAAACTGTGGAAAAATCCCTGCAGCAGATATAATTAGCCACCATGGCTACCAAACATACTTGTATAAATAAAGAACATGAGGCCGTTCAACAGCTTATGACGGATTATATGTTCAGTCATTGGTCACATTACAAATAACTTGGGGTGTTTGTCCTATAAATTCTTCTGAGGTTTTTCATTTTAAAGATAGCCAACAACATTAATGTCAGATGTTGTTTTTTTATCACTTGGACTTAAATCATAAAGAAAAAAATTAGAGATTTGGTTGCAGGTATACTCGTTATGGTGAGTGAGCAGCTTGCATGATCCAGACACAACCGTCAGCATGAAAGAAGGACAATAGTAGTGTCAGCATTTTGGAAAAGTTAGTTCCGTGATCCTTGTTTCAAAAACCAACAATGGTTTAAAGCTGTCTTTTCAACCCTGATATACGTGATTGTCCCAGTTTAAGTTAGAGCTTAAAAAATAAGCTACAACATTTTACAAGTATTTTTTTATGTATTAAAATAAACAGGCAAGGAATGGTTAGGGTTAGGGTAAGTGTTTTCGTAGATGTATGATGTACTTAATTACTTACTTGTACTTTCTATGTCCTGTTTTTTCAGGACTACGTTACCCACGTTCCTCAAGGGCATGAAATCCTTCACTGCCCTGTCACACGCATGTACCCTACTGATGACTGTGAACCCCAGACACCTGGAGAGGTGGTATGTACAAAACACACACACACACACACACACAAATTTAAATCAAATAAATACTCAACCATCAACTGGTGGGCTGTGGCTCAGAGGTAGAGCGGGTCGTCCACCAATCGAATCGAAATCGATCAGCGGTTCTATCCTGGGCTCCTCCAGGCTGCATGTCAAAGTATCCTTGAGCAAGATACTGAACCCCAAATTGCTCCCGATGGCTGTTCCATCGGTGTGTGAGCGTGTTAAAACTGAGTAGCAGGTGGCACCTTGTATGGTAGCCTCGGCCACCAGTGTATGAATGTGTGTGTGAATGGGTGAACGTGACTTGTAGTGTAAAAAGCACTTTGAGTGGTCACTAGATGACTAGGAAGGTGCATATATATATATATATATATATATACACACATATATATAAATATACAAATGCAGGTCCATTTACCATTACCCTAATGTGCAACTTCACATGTACAGTATACAGCTGTGGACTCCAAGTACATTTACTTAAGTATTGTACTTAGGTACAAATAATACGTGGACTTTATATAAATATTTCCACTTTATGCTGCTTTACTGTACGTTCACACCAAAAGCTGCCAGAGCTGCAAAATAGCTGAATTCGCTCTAGCAGCGCCGCTGGTAAAATATTTGTGGCAGTGAAAGCACTTCAAGTCGCTCATGATGTCAAATTCTGAATGTTCGATTGTGCTTCAATTTAAAGGAGCCACAAAGCAGGTTACTGGCTGGAGCACAGAAATGTGACTTTGTGCATTTGCCTGAGTACAGAAACTTTCATGTTTGGACAGTGAAAACAGAACAAAAAGTCTAAATAGGTCTGACATTAAACATTAAACACACACAGCCTGTGTTGTGTTCAGGCATTGTCACGTAAATAACAAATTCGAGTACTTGAATACACTGTAGCACAACACAGCAGCATGTTAAGTGGGCCAAACCCAAACCGAATATGAGCAACATTTTTTTTATTTGTTATTCCCCCCAAAGCTGTAAACCTAGGGGAAACACTGTCAGTGGTTTGGGTTCGAGTGCCTACAGTGCGATTAGTTAAACTGGTGGTAAGGAGAGCAAATTAATTGCATTCCCGCTAATAACAAGCGTTGCAGAACACAAAGAAATTGTATAAGTACGTGCGCTTGTCCACACTTGTGTATTGATTCAACATGGAAGAAGACAATCTTGTAATTTGTGCTGCCTTGTGGTACCTGCGCCACCGTCAGGTCTGGGTTCACGATATCCTCCCGGGCCGTGAACAGCACGGGGAATATCATCGGCTGGTGCGGGAGCTGCGGCTGGATGGGGAGAGGTTCCAGCGCTACTTCAGGCTGAACATAGATCAGTTTGACAGCTTGCTGCTTGTTTTGAAGTAGGAACGAATGTGTGATTGGAACTAAAAGTTTCCGAGGATGTTCTCTGGGTTCAACACAAGCGATGGACATCTACATTCCGATTGATGCCTGGTCATTTGCAGCTCAAATGCATCATAGCTAATTTGCATAAAGTTAACCAGTCTTCAACTTTCATTTGCAGCTTAATTCGCCAAACGTCACTGCTCATCGCTTTTGCAACTCAAAACGCCTCTGGTTGCCACTATCCATTGAAAATGAATTAGACCTGACGTCTTTGCAGCTCTGGCAGCTTTTGGTGTGAACGTACAGTTATACTCCTACTCCACTACATCTCAGATGTAAACAGTATTGTACTTTTTACTGCACTACATTTATCTGACAGCTTAAGTTCCTTTTCAGATGTCCTTTTCATCCTCTTCCTGCCCACTGTAGTCTGAGTGGGTGGAAGTTCACTGCAAAGATCAGCCTCTCATTGGGCGGAATGAGCCACCTGCTTAAGTCCCGCCCTACCACCTCCGGTTGCAGTTTTCAACACGTCCTTTACTAACTTTTGCAGTGTTTGATCTTGCGGGGATGTAGCCATTTTTCTGCCATGGTTCTCAGCCTGTAGGCGATATTTTTGTGGGCGTGTTACACCAAAACCTGTTTCCCCCCGGCAATATTTTTGCAAGCGCACCGTTGCTGTGGCACTGCCAAGAACAATTGTGATTGGTTGAAAGAAATACAAGCAGCCGGGGCGTTTTTTTCCTCCAATCTTAAAGTGAGAATCAGCCCAGCCAGACCTTTCTTTTCTTGAGAAAGGTCTGGTGAGCGAGACTATGCCCACTGAAAACCATGTATCTCCAGATGTGTTGCAGTTCAATGTTTGTGATAAACTGAAAGATGGAGACCTTTATGTGCTGAGAAAATTATCCTACTTCCTCAGCTAAATAAACTCTTTAAAAACCATCAGCTAGAAAAATCATCGTCACAAAGCTGAAAACAGCTGTTTTTCTGACTTTTTAGAGATGCAAGGCTCCCATAGGACAGCCACGTTACAAACATACAGTGGTGGAAAAAAGTTTTCGGACACCCCATGCATTTGTGAAATATTGCATTAAGAATCACTCTTAGGTCTTCAAGTGCAATTTCTTTTAGTACAGTCACAGCCAGAATACTAAATAAATCCTAAAAAACTTAAAACTTAAAATTGATTGGTTCCATAAAAATACATAAGAAATTTTGAGTATTGGGTCATTTTGGTACCAGTGATGAAGGTCGTTCTTTTTATTAAAAGACACAATTTTTGTTGCCAAGCTTCGTGTCTACATAAAGCCAGCACATTTGAAAGTTCTTCAGACACAAAAATGGCTAAAACAAGGAACCTAACGCAGGAAACACACCTGAAGATAAAGATTCTCAGCCAGGAAGGATACAGCTGCCACCAGATAGCCAGGAAGTGCAGATGCAGTCCTTCAGCAGTTGGATACACTCTGCAGAAATACAGACAAACCAACAGCTTGGAAGACAAACCAAGATCTGGGCGTCCAAGGGTTTCTTCAGCAAGAAATGACCACATCCTGATCCGCATGTGCAGGCAAAACCGCCAAATGACATCACAGGAGCTTCAGCAGCAGTGGTCAAACCAAACTGGTGTCCAGTGTTCCACCCGCACTGTACGTGGCCGACTTTTAGATCATGGCTTAAGGTCCTACAAGGCTATCAAGAAGCCCCTGATCAATGAGAGACAGAGGTTAGCCTGGCGTGGTTGGGCCCAGGCACACAAGAACTGGACAGCCAGGAATTGGAAGAAGATTTTGTGGTCAGATGAGTCCAGTTTCCAGCTTTATCTTCCTCCTACTAATGTGAGGGTACGCAGAAGGCCAGGCGAAGCATTATCTCCAGCATGTACAGTACCTACTGTCAAGCATGGTGGAGGCAGTATCATGGTTTGGAGATGCATGAGTGCTACTGGTGTTGGTCATCTCACTGTCTGTGATGGCACATTGAACTCTACCAAGTATTGTACCATTCTCGAAACCCACATGCTCCCTTCTGTGCGTGCACTGTTCCGTTGAGGTAAAAACTGGATGTTTCAACAAGATAATGCCCCTTGCCACACATCCAAGGCCAGTAGAACTTAGCTGCAGGAGCACAGTATCCAGGTCTTAGAGTGGCCAGCTCAATCCCCGGACATGAGCCCATTGAAAATCTGTGGTGGATTATCAAAAGGTCTGTTTCAAAGCATAAACCAAAGAATTTAGAAGAATTAAAAGCAGTAATTCAAGAAGAATGGGACAAGATTACCCCTCAACAGTGTGAAAGGCTCGTGGGGAACATGCCAGCCAGGATTAGAGCTCTACTACGTGCCAATGGCAGGACTACTAAATATTAATTTGATGATGTGATGGTTTATTTATTTTTGTTCAGTTTTGAACACATTCTCTGTTATTTGTTGACTTTGATACCGACAATGTTGAGAACTGACATATTGAAACTGTCAAGAATTTAGTTTTGTTAGTTTTTCTTGTAAACAATAAACAAAAAAATATAATTTGTATTTGTTTGTATCTGTCTAATGCAGCCACACCTTTTGAAACACAAAAAATATTTTTCCACAAATATTTCATGATAATATTTGAGATTGTGTAAAATTTTAAGGGTGTCCGAAAACTTTTTTCCACCACTGTATGATGATCTAACAGAATATGATGCACTGCTGTAGATTGAATTATCCAACAGTATATCAAGGAGTTAAAATGAGCACAGCCTTAAAAATCTACAGCAGTAAAATGACACATACACCTTAATGCACCAGGAATAATCATCCAAAAACATCAGATAGAATAGAGGAAAACACTGACAGCATGGAACATCTTACTGCACTATACATACTTTGACTTTAACTACTTTAAGTACATTTTTGATGATAATACTTTTACTATTGGAAGGTTTTGAATGCAGGGAAGTATTGTCACAGTGTGAAATCACTTTAACTGCAGTGAAGGGTCTAGAAGGATTCTTTCACCACTGACAGTATATCATATATTCCTCTGTGTGTGTGTGTGTGTGTGTGTGTGTGTGTGTGTGTAGGAGCAGCCTCTGTATGATGTGATCCAGGAGACTCTGCAGCGCCATCTAGAGGGAATTTCCTTCAGAGAGAGAAACGCTGGGCCCAAGATAGACATGAACATGAGAGATGAAGGTAGGACAGACAGTGTGTGTGCGTGTGTGCGTGCGCGTGGGTGTTTAAGTTTACCAGGTACAATTAGTAGTAATGCTATACCTGCCTACCTCAGATATGAGCGATTACAATACTGATAGAGTCATACCGGCTTGGATGCCGCCCATTTTAACAAGGTCCACATCAGTTGCTAGGGAACCAGGGCAATCTGATGACAAGTGGCTTACTGGAGCAAGACATACATGGACAAGGGTGGAAAACACAGAATTGGTGGAATGCTATTATACCAGCACTCCTAGAGAGAGGGAATATATGCAGAGAATGTGGGACCTTTGGATACTTACTTGGAAACCCCATCCCATCTGGTAGCACAGTGTTCCAACATCCGTAACCGCCAACTACTATCACAACTAAAGATCAATGAAATACCTCAACAATGCTACAACAACGGGGAGCTACGACGACAGGTCAGCATGGGGATGTCATCATCACCCCCACAATCTGAGATTGGGTACCTTCAAACCTTCAGATGATCTGCTAGAAGATGTGAATGCTGCCCTAAATACCATCCCTACAAGGACCATCACTGAGACCAACAAGCTGTTTTACAGTACAGCAACAGTAATCCTGGAGATGCTTGAATACAAGATGGACATGGACATACATAAGAACCAGGAACATAGGACAAAGGACATAAGAACCTCCATGGCAGAGATGGTTGGAGGCCAAGATAAAGGCAACATGGAGAGAAGTTAGCCAACTAACAGAGTTACACAGAGGGAACATGGTGAATAACGGGGTACCAAGGAAATATAACAAGCATATGGGAAAGAGAAGCATCACACAATACCGATGCCCAGTGGATAGTGGACCTAAGAGCTGGTCACAGCAACCTCCCTGAACCAGAACCAGTAACCATCTCAATGGCAGACATCCAGGAAAGAGTGTCAAAGATGAAGCGCTGGACAGCACTGAGCCCTTATATGATTCATTTATACTGGCTGAAGAAGCTAACTGCACTCCATAAAATCCTATCAGCACAGATGACAAAGCTGCTAAGGGATGGGACCCACCCAGAATGGTTGATACAGGTCAGGACACTCCTGATCATGAAAGACCCCCAGAAGGGAACCATCCCATCCAACTACAGACTGATAACCTGTCTCTGCACAACATGGAAGCTCCCGTGAGGCATCATAGCTGCTAAGATAACTAAGCATATGGTCCAATACATGAGTGAGGCACAGAAAGGAATTGGCAGAAACACCAGAGGAGCCAAGCACCAGCTACTGGTCAACAGAGCAATCGCAAGACTGCAAGAGCAGGAAGACCAACCTGTGCACTGCCTGGATTGACTACAAGAAAGCTTATGATTCAATGCCACACACATGGATACTGGAGTGTCTGGAACTATATAAGATCAACAGGACACTAACGGCCTTTATCCAACTCAAAGCCGATTGCCCAAGTGAACATCAAATGCGGCATATACCAAGGGGATGCACTGTCACTACTGGTGTTCTGCATAGGCCTAAATCCCCTCAGTCAGATCATCAAGAAGACTGGCTATGGATACCGATTCCGAAGTGGGACAACAATCAGCCACCTGCTTTACATCGACTCACTGATCCACACCATTAGGATCTACAGCAAGGACATAGGGAAGTCATTCGGATGAGACAAATGTGGCCAGATGATATCAAAGAGAGGCAAGATGATCAGAACTGAGGGAGTTGACCTACCAGAGGGCAACATAGGAGATATCCTGGACAGCTACAAGTAGCTTGTGATCCTGCAGGCTAATGGAAATCATGAGGAGGCCGCAAAGGAAGTCGACCACTACCAAATACCTCCAGAAAGTAAGGCAAGTCCTGAGAGGTCAGCTGAATGATCAGAACAAGGTCCAAGCCATCAACATGTACACACTGCCAGTCATCACATACCCAGCTGGGTAGCCATCAGAGCATGTGAGCGAAGCCTAGCGGGGAGCAGACGGATTTTGTGTTGAGCGAGGAGCGGCTATTTTTTTTTTAAAAGGTGGAGCGGAGCCTTATCTCTTGCTCCAATTTCGCTCCGGTTGCTCATGCCCCACCCAGAATGCATCTTTGCACCTGCGCACACCCACACTATTTTCTTTCAAAACTATGGAGTTTACTGTGTACTTAAGAAATGAAACTGAGAAGAGAAGCAGCGGTACCTTGGAGAACGGTCCCTAACTGCGGGGAGAGGCGAGAGGGCTTCCCTGGAGGTCAGCCGCTTAACCCAGTCCGTCTCCTCTACACTTTGACTTATTTCCACCCTGCCAACAGCGGTACCGTGTAGAACGTTCCCTAACTGTGGGGAGAGGGGAGAGGGCTTCCCCGGAGAATCTACCAAGCTCATTTTTTATTTGTGAATAGAAGATTACAGGTTAGGGTAGTACGACGCAGTTTTTTTGAGCGGAGTGGTGAGCGAGTGGAGCGGGATAAAATTTATGATGGAGTGGAGCGGAGTGAAGAATGCGCAGAACCAAGCGGAGCGGACGAGCGGCACAAAGTGACAGGTCTGCGAGTGAGGAGCAGAAATTTTCACCTGCTCCGCTGCGCTCACATGCTCTGGTAGCCATATAGGCCAGGGTCTACCCCAGCAGGTCAGACCCAAGGTGCACGCTGTGCAAAGATGCCTCTGAGACGATCCAGCACATAGTGGCAGGATGTAAGATGCAAACAGGATCAGTGTACATGGAGAGGCATAACCAAGTGGCTGGGATAGTGTATAGGAACATCTGTACCCAGTAGGCTTGTCATGATACCAGAATTTCAGTAGTCGATACCAGTACCAGTGAATTTCCACAATTCTCAATACTCATTCGATACCACGATAAAAATCAATAAACAGAACTCATGTATTTCTAAATTCACTACTTTATTAAAACTGTTTGAAACTTTTACTTTAACTCTGTCACTCTGTGACAGCAAAGGAAGTTGAAAAGGGAGGGGCAGGGACTCGACTCAGACGCAGTTGTCAGGCATATAACACGCATTTAATTGAGAAAAGATGGCATGGGGTACATTTAAAAAGTAAAATATAAAATTGTGTATGTGACTGGCTGAAACTAGATTTCGTGTTGACAAGCTCGTGCTGTAACACTTCTTGCGTCACAGGAATAGTCCCAGTGAAAACACAAGATGACACCAGCACCTTGATTACGTCAGATTTCATTCAATAGTCTCAAGTTCCATTCAGAATATTCCAACTTTCATTCAATATATTTCATGTTGCATTCTATGTATTTAGAGTTTTATTGTATATTTATGTATATATATCGGTATTGGCATCGACCCCAAAAATCCAGTATTGGTCAGGCTCTTGTTTAAAGGGTTAGTAACACTAGCCTGCTTCTTCAAACTGAGGGCATGTTTACAGACATCTGCTGTATCTAATACATTGACTGTGGATAAGTACCCCATACAAACCCACTTCAAAAAAATCAAAACTATAACTGTAACAAATCCTTCTCCAGCACTACAGAGCCCAATGATAGATTTGTTAACGGCAGCAGCTCTCCAAACTATCCTTCAGTCCCAGCCCCTGTATTAAGAGCTCTTCTACTCCTTCCCAGGGTTCAACGTGTTTGCTAAGGTGGATCCAGCCACAGGCTTTGTGACTGGAGGAAACCGCTTTAACTGTGGTACATGGATGGACAAAATGGGAGAGAGTGAAAGAGCGAGGAACAAAGGCATGCCTGCTACTCCAAGGTAACACACAATCTGATCACAAACACACACACATATACACACACACACACACACACACATTGCTTCACATCCAGCTGTCAGAAAGTTTTCACAGAACAAATCCCTTACCGTTTTTTAGGAAAGCTAATTAGAAATGCTAAGGTTGCATGTCTCACTGTACTTTACATCAGATTTTGATCCTGTATTGAATTGTTTGATCAGTCCACCAAAAGTACCAAATGTGTGGATTTTCTGTTTTACATCATTGTAAAGGTTTGTTTTTCATTGTTTTCTGGTGGGTCATAGACTAAACACACAATTAATTGAACTTAATGTGTTTTGTGTCCAGAGATGGAGCAGCAGTAGAGATAGTGGGTCTCAGTAAGTCAGCTGTTCGCTGGGTTATGGAGCTCCACGCCCAAGAACTGTTCCCATATGACGGAGCCAAAGTACACCGAAATGGTATTATACACACACACTGATAGATAGATACGTTTACATGCACGCAGTAGTTGAGCTAAGCTCATAGCTCGGCTGATCAGTCAAGTTGGACTTCTCGACTTGTCTGAGTATACACGCAGAAGAGAAAAATCCAAATTCTGATCACCTCCACCTCGATAGGCGGTGCTGTGTCCTTTTTAATATAGTGCGTATTGAACTAGTTCCGCTTCTTGTTCAGAACCTTTTTAAAATAAATCCGCGTTTTGCATTTTCCTACCATCCATAAGCTTCAAAATGTTTGCTCCTTTAGCTGTCAGAGCATGAATGTAGTTTCCTAATCCATCCAGAAGTGCGTCCTCTGCTTATTGGTCGCCATGGTTTTTGTTTGTTTGATTTTCCGTGAGTTACTGCACTGCTGCTACGTCATCTTCTTCTTCCGGGTGAAAGCCTGCGAAAGAACAAGTGATGCATGCACAGAATGCAGAGTCCGACTCCAGTCGGACTAAGTGGATACATGCAGCAGTAGTTCGATTTTCAATTGAATTATCTAGGTGTGTTAGTCAAGCTACGGATAATCCAATTTCAGTCAGACCAAGCTGTTTGCATGTATTTAAAAGTCCAGTTTCTGTCGGACTCAGCCAATGATTCGATTTTCTCAAGCTGCATGTTAACGTACTAACTGAAGTTTAGCCTGAATTTTCAGATAAAGAAAAGCCTCCTGAACTCATTGTGACCTTCAGCATCATCTGTAATAAACACTTCTCATTGTGTTTTAGGTAAAGAAATGTTTATCTCATACTCCCAGTGGAACCAGCAGCTCCAGCAGTCCTTTGAAGCAGGTTTCTGGGTGTCTGGCGACCCCAATGACCCCAATGAGCAGCGCCCTGATCTGGTGCACAAAAAAGGCATCTATAAGGACAGCTATGGAGCCTCCAGCCCCTGGTGTGACTACCAGCTGAGACCCAACTTCACTATTGCCATGGTGGTGGTAAGAACACAGGGCCATGTATCTGAATAATCTTTAACTGTGTGTAACTTTTCACTGAGTTGTGATTGTGTTTGAAGGCTCCAGAGCTCTTTACAGTGGAAAGAGCCTGGGAGGCTCTGGAGGTCGCTGAGAAAAAACTACTGGGACCACTGGGAATGAAGACACTTGACCCTGAGTAAATAAAACCTTCATATATTCTCAATGCACAAACATCCTTTTAAAGACACGTGAAGGATTTCCTGTTTTTATCCCTGACTCTAAATGTAATCATGTCTGCTTAAAAGAAATGGTTATGATTATAGTGGCAGCAGTGGGAGGATTATATATTCAGTCTCACACTGACATTGTGTTTGTGTTGTCCCAGTGACATGGTGTACTGTGGTGTCTATGACAACTCTCTGGACAACGACAGCTACAACCTGGCAAAAGGCTTCAACTATCACCAAGGACCAGTGAGTATAACACACCCTGCACTAAAGAGTTGAATAACAAAAACACTGTTGCTGTGTCACATGGCTTCAGGAAGAATGTGTCTACAGCTGTAAACATAGGTGCCCTCCCTAGCGCACACTGGACGCGTCGCACTGCAGCTTGTTAATAGATGACTATGCAAAGAATGCACAGGATTGTAAATCATTTAGCTCAGGATATTTCTCTACCTCATTCGGTCTTTGTCACACATAAGACAGCAACAGAGTTCTCACTGTATCAATGGTGACAAGAGGAGTCGAGCTGCCATAGGAGCAGAAAAAAAGAGCTGCTACGGGAGCTGGTATGTACAAACAGAGATCAAGTGGGGGAAAAGTGCATTTTATTCAGGGGTTGGCAGGGCTGGAAATAGGACAGTGGCGTGAAGTGCCACGTAGCCACCATTGGTGTGGGGTTGTACATTCAAAATAATAGGGCCATATTTTTTGACATGCGCCATACGCCGCCAGTGTGTTTTGGCCTTAAGGGCCCAGACACACCAAACCAACATCAAAGAACTAGTGATGACGAAGACCAACTATTGCTTCACCTCATGTCCCCTATCTCTCACCCAAAAGTTGCATTTGAACACTCTGCAAGGACAAGAGCCGACGGGCAACTAGCACATACACTCTGTGACCACATGAGAGAAAATAACTTTACACACCAGCATCCAATCGTCTGTATTTGTAAAAAAAAAGAAAAAGAAAAAGAAATGGAAGGCTGACAGGACGGATTCAAGACACTAGTTAGCCAGTTAGCACATTAACAACACAACCAGATATTGAAAGAACAAATTATATTTTCTGTGCACTAGTAAACAATAACAAACAATTACAAATTATTTTTGCTATAGACAGGGTTCCCACGGTTCCAATTCCTGGAGGTTATCAAGTTATTTTGTAGGCCTGGAAATGGTTTTGAATTCACAGAATGTTTTGTCAAAGTTTTAAATATGCATTGCTTTGGCTGTTGTTTGAAATATATTCATAATAATCCAAAACGTATTGAACATTACACAAAATATGCTACTTGTATTACTAAGTTAACATCTAGTGCTGTACTGCGTAACCACTGAAACATCGCAAGCAACATGTGACACATATAGTCCAGTTGTCTATATATACAGTACAGGCCAAAAGTTTGGACACACCTTCTCATTCAATGCATTTTCTTTATTTTCATGACTATTTACATTGTAGATTCTCACTGAAGGCATCAAAACTATGAATGAACACATGTGGAGTTATGTACTTAACAAAAAAAGGTGAAATAACTGAAAACATGTTTTATATTCTAGTTTCTTCAAAATAGCCACCCTTTGCTCTGATTACTGCTTTGCACACTCTTGGCATTCTCTCCATGAGCTTCAAGAGGTAGTCACCTGAAATG